GTTGGTACTGTCGACAATCTTGAGGATGTCCTTAACTTGGCTTGGTGGGGGGTCAATGAGCGCAAGTCGCGTATAAACCTTGATATTTGTCGACATCGAATAAATGTCATCGAGATGTAAGGTGCCGACTCTTGAGATTCCTGCCGAAAACGCCTCACTTTCCACAACGAATGCGAAAAAAGACAACATCCATCTGCAGCTCCATCACTGAGCTCCAGTATACCGCATGTTCGCCACCCCCACAAAGATGACGAGGATGATCATTGTGCCCTCGCCCTAGTCGTGATAGTGGTGGTGATGTTGAACGATAGAACAATGCAACGAGGTTGCTTTAGTTCCGACGTTCAGGATTAGTCCCTGATTCAAACATCCCGCAAGGGATCGCACAGCATGGAACCGCTGCAGTCATGTCGTAATGCGTGTGACACGCTACGACATCTGAAGCCTTTGACCTACTTTCGGTTGCGCCAAGCCCCTTTGGGCTTCGAAGAGGCTGCGGGCCCGATCCGAAGCCCCTTTCCGGACGGCGCCTGCCTCACGGATCAACAGCCTCAGACGATTTTCTCGAAACGTTTACGGTAGTTAGTGCTTGTTATTCTTGTTGCCTAGCACATTTGCACTGTTATGAGCAACGTTGCTACTCCTATCGTGTTGCTCACATCAAAGCCGTTATGTGATATGTTGCTGTGGCTTTTGCCTCTGTGGCTGTTGCTTCTGTATTTTGCACGACGACGACGACGACGATGGCCGCTACGGCTACGGCCAGGGCTGCAACGACTGCTACTACGACTACCTACTACTTGTAGTTACTATGCTGCCGCGATTACGACCAACACCGCCACCACCACGACTGCTGCTACTTCTGCTACTGCTACTGCTACTACTACTCCTGCTACTACTACTACTACCACCACCACTACCACTACCACTACCATTACCACTACCACTACCACTACCACTGCTTGTGCTGCTGCTACTACTAGTACTACTAGACATTCACCTAAACCCTAATCTGTCCATCAGGTCATGGTGTGGTGGTTGATCTTCGTGCTCTGTTGCGGCGGGGGAGTCTGCCAGGCACAGCTCGAGAAGGGGAGCCAACACAGGTTCACAGGGCGGGAGGTCGTAGTTTCGAAGGTTGTGTGTACGGTTTCGGGTTTCGGGAATCTCTTCGCGACATCCCAAGATTCTTTCAACTTTGGAGTGTTATGAACGTGGGTTCCTTCCTCGCATGTGACACTGTAGTGCGAAGGTAGGTTTTCATTGGTTTCTGCCAGCAGCATACAGCAGCCTGCGAGGATGCCATCACGACACCTTAAACCCCAACCCAGGGAGCATATCTGCGCCAGCCAGGACCCGACCGTGAAGTGGGACCTGGTGTTTCCAAACGTTCGTGGCAGCCGAGCCAGGCAGCTGAGTGGCTCATCCTTTAGACGACGATCCTTTAGACGACGATCTCCCTCGCCATCCCCGTCGCCCAGTCCTTGGCCATCCCCGTCGCCCAGTCCTTGGCATCGGCGACGTCCAATCCCATCTCCCTGGCCATCCCCATCGCCCAGTCCTTGGCCATCCCCGTCGCCCAGTCCTTGGCCATCCCCGTCGCCCAGTCCTTGGCCATCCCCGTCGCCCAGTCCTTGGCCATCTCCGTCGCCCAAGCCCAAGCCATCCCCTGTGCCCAGCCCCGGGCCAGCCCCTTCGCCCGGTCTGCCCAAGCCCAGACCATCACCGTCACCCAGCGCAGGCAGGCCCGGAAAGGAGTCGAGTCTTGCTGGTTGCTTGTTGGATGTCTTGTTGGCAGCTTGGCTCAGCAGGCGCAGACACAAGTGCAGAAGGCACCAGGGTGGAAGTGCCAGGCCCGTTGCATTCTGTACAGGACTTTCGAACTGCATGTGGGACAAGTTGTGCTGAGGATGCTCAGCTTGCTCTTTAGCTGCAGCAGAGGCGGCTACCTTGAGATCCCGAATGGCGAGCAAAAGGTTGTGGTGCCTCTACCAGGCCCACACATCGAGTCTTGAATATTTCTGTGGCGTCGATCTGGAGTTCTTCGAAAGGTTCGCGAGGCCGGATTTGTTCCTCAGTCGTTGAGTTTCCGCGCACTTGAGCTTCAACCCTGTATTGGCATGTGCTGCCAGGCATAGCAAGGCTCAGAGACGCCTGGGAGCACAGGGTGTTCCAAAATTCATGTCCTTAAAAAACCAACGTATTGACACGGCCGTGCAAAATAACTTAGGGCCCCCTTCGTATACCATGTCTATCCACGCAGCTCCGAATGGCACTGTGCAGGTGGGGTCTTTGTAATCCCGCGCTTGCGGACGTCATCATCTCCAGGACACTGATGAGAACAGCACTTGCACGACTATGAAAACGATGCTGATGTTGGCCGAGGAGGAGGAGAAGGAGGAAGAGGCGGCGGTGGTGGTGGTGCGGCTGCTTGGATGACGATGTGGGTGATGGTGATGGTGGTGATGTCGGGCCGTTTGGAAGTGCGAGAGGAGGCAAGCAGGGAGAGATGGAAGGTCGGGGAAGAGGAGGACTCAGGAGACGAAGCGCTGGGGGTCCTTTCCAGCTTAGGGCGATCCACAATGACGACCGGGGGTCTTGTTCTCGTAGGTGTTCGCTTTGCTGGTAGCATCTTCTGAAAGCTCTGAACGAGTCTGGATCTCCATGCAGGCGGGCATTTAAGATTGGAGTTGCAGTGGGTGCAACTTGCACGAGGTACGATACCTTGGCTGTAAGTCTCAACCCTCCGCTCTTGTGCTATCGTACGATTGCAGGCTGCTCCCAGCGGCTGTCAACTTATATATATATATATGTATGTATACATATTATATAGGAGCATCGCAACTCCTTGCGGATACTTCTCGAAGAGCATCTGAGTGGCACTGGCTTCTTGCCCACATTTGCCCACCGCGTCAGTGCAAACAAGCACGAGCTTCGACGATAAGAGGACGAATACGACAACTTCGACTACGATGATTCCTCGTCCACTGCTAAGACTTAAGACGTCGGCTGCTGACGACGACGACGACCGCTGCTTCTGCGAATACCGCTGCCACTGCAACTACTACTTTTTCTACGACTGCGACTATGGCACTGGCAACGACGACGATTACTGTCATCACTTGCTGCTGGCACCGCTGCCCGTCAGATGACAGGACAAACTGCGAGAACAACACCGGCTCCCTCTGCTGGCCCTCTTGCCTGCTTTGCCGATGTACCGGTCCAGGGTTTCGGTTCAACATTTGGGGGCTAAGGGTCATAGAATGCTTTGAAAGGCTTTTTTCGGCACAGGTTTTCTCCCCGGTTGTAGGTCTTTTCATGAGAGTCTGGTTCCAGGAATGTCAGGAATGTGTTGTGTGTCGCTAAAGCAGGCTTTGAAGCTACTGTGAAGTATCAGCCGGAGTCGATGGCATAGACTGCTGGTACTGCTGAAGACCTTCAAGCGGGAAGCACCGCGGTCGGTTGAGCTGAGAGTGACAGATGATGCCGTATCTTTTCAGAACCATGACGGCCGGATGCCGACGAAAATGGCGACGAGGACAGCAATGCCGAGGATGACGATAATGAGAATGGCGATTTAAAGAGGATGGCGGCACAGGGGTGAGCATAACGACAACTGAGAGATGTTGCAACAGAGCTGGCGGAAGTTGAAGTGATTATGGTACTCACCGTAGCCTAGACTGGTGGCGGTGATGATTAAACGAAGAAGATGATGATGCTGATGATGATCATGACGATAATGATGATAACGATGATGATGATGATGATGATGATGGCGATGGCGACAGTAAGGAGGATGCCGCTGCTGCTGATGATGGGATCAGCATCAGCAAATCGGCAGCAGCATATGTCTACCCCATCGCTCTGCAAGCAACATCACCATCACCAAGATCACCAGAAATTGTCATCATCAGAGTCATGCCGTCTTTATTCTTCGTTGCCATGACTGTCAGGACCAAGAAGCATCCTGTTGTCAGTATGTGTCGCCCAGCCAGGCCGGCCCGCCATCCTGCTTCCAGGAGGCTTCGCCTGCTTGGGTTCAAGGTTTAAGGTTCAGGTTTGTTGCAAAAGGTTCAGGTTTTTGGTTTGGGGTCTGTGGTTGCGGAGTTGCCTTAGGCTCAGCTCCTACTTTCAGCGAAACGCTCCTCTCTGACATGCCATTGGGAAATGGTAGGCCTCTGCTCTTTACGACTACGATGCAGACACATCAACTTACACATTCGAAGTCCTAAGCGAGAGACAGGGGAGCTCTATATGAGATCCTGATAACAAGGCAAGCGTGCGTTCAAGTTTTTGTAGAAAACGTGGGCCCCTGGATTATCGGTTTTCTAATGAAAATACAAAAGACCCCACTGTGTTTGTAAGGAGACAGCAGACATGTTTTCTCGTTGCAAAATGGAGTAGCGATGGATTTTTCTCGCGAGCCGGAACAGTGAGCAGGCTTCGTTTGCCAATCGACCAGGAATGAACGAGCGCTCGTCCGTCCCTTCATATGCGAACTACAAAATGGGCGTGTTAATTTTTCGACAAGGAGCCAAAAGGTCCTTTGCGACAGACAGTTGCGCTCGAACAAACAGAACAGAATGGCTTGTGGCTTTCTTCTCCCCAAGAGATACGGTATGAAGTGATAGAGCAGGTCTTGTGCTTAAGGCTGACAAGAACAGCGATTTGTTTAACGTATTCCGGGCTTAGGGATGACTCCGCGTCTCCTATGAGCAGATTCCGTAGCTTTCTGGGGAATGGAAAGTCAGTAAGTCGCTTTTTTTTTGCCGAAAGACAGCGAAGTAAACCACAAGGCCAGGGGTAGATCTTCGGAGGTTTGTTGGTCAGATCATGCAATAGAAACTTACTTCCATCCTAAGAATTGATCCTACGTCAGTACAGCCTAGGCCAACAAATATCACTGTGGAATCGAGACCTGGAGCTACAGGTAATTGCGCGATTAGGTGTGATGCTGTTCTGGTGCCCTTTGCCATCCGAGAGGAGTTCTTCACCCTCCGATGGATGCACCGCAAGGCATGTCTCATGAGACATTTGCTAATGCATGGTTAAGACTCGCACCACTCTGATAGACAAGTGGGCCCGGCGACTTTCGTTGTTACAACCACTATGCCTATGACGTTTTGGCCGTTGCAGTGTTACATTGTGTTTTGTGAGAGCTTTGCCACGGATGCGGAAGTTTTGTACATAAACAACGCCGGCTCACGTGTGAGGGAGGAGTTTCAGAAGTACTCTGAGCGCGTTCGGTGTCAAACTACCGCCGCAAGATTGATCTGGCACTGGTAGATTGCAGGCGGAATGATGTGCAAGAAGTTGCTTTACATGACAGTGTCATATCGCAAAATGTAGCATGTTTCATACAAGCATCATGCGGGCTGGAACAGAATCTAGTACCTCAGTATCAGCTGCAGGGGTGGACGAAGGGCTTCATCCGTTTTCGTGAGAACCACAATATGTGCGATTCCCTCCTTAAGCACCCATATTTAGTTGTGATCTGTCATCCGCTCGCTCTTGCCAGTTATGATGTCGGGTCGTATCTTTGCAATACCAACCGCTAGACTCTCATGTGAGGCATGGTCTTCCTATGTCGCACTCTGGCGTATCCACAACGATACGATGATTCCACTCTGGCGTATCCACAACGATACGATGATTCCTACTCAAGCTTGACATGACAAGTCAAAATCATGCTAGCTTCCGCGGGTCTGTGCTAGAGCGCTCACAGTCTTCTAGAGTGTGGAACAGGTTTGGTGGCATCAAGGATCGGGGTCATAGCCATCCTTTTGTAGTCGTGATGTGGTTTGGTTCAATACGCTTCTGCCCAAACCCTTCCTGCCCCGAAACAATACTCTCTCCCACGCCAAGGGCGTCCGTCGGTCGTCCTTCCTGAAGGATTCGCTGGGTCCGGGCGGGGCATGTCGATCTTAGGCACCTTTGTGCTGGTGATACAAAGATTGTGATGCTGACGGTGATGATGGTGGTGGTGGTGGTCCAGACGAAGGCAGCAATGACAACAAAAATCATGCGCGAAGAGTGGCGATGATGCTGCTGCCGAGTGTGATGATAGTCATGCTTTTGTTGATGTTGCCGGCGATCAAGTTCAATAGAAACAGTTCGTATGATGGCAGCTGTGACTCTGCATGAGCAGCACATCGCCTAGAATGGTCGCCATGACCCTGACCTTACTCCATGGTTCTAGCTTTCCTCATAGTCATGTCGTCTTGATGTTGTTTTCCTATTCCTTTGCCATTGTCGCTGTTTGTGCCAACCGCGCTCTTGTAAACAGAAGCAATACTTGGTGCCCCTGCTAAAAGGGTGTCACCGCAACATTGCTTGTGAGGTTGGCGTTTGAGGGCTTCTCCCCAGGGCACAGTGATTTTGAAGCCGCCTTGTCGAAAGCCTTGGAGCCCACCGAGGGATCCTTCCAGGTGGAAGCTGGGACATCAGACCACACAGCACGTTGAGTCAAATCAGCATTACACATCAGAACGCATCACGAAGGAGTGCTTCTTCCGCCGATGGATTCGCCGATTGGCACGCCTGTTACGACTAAAGGCTCGAAACCGCTTGCGAGCAGCAGCGGGCTTGGTTATAAGGGGTTTGGCAGGTATTGCGGTTACACTTTTTGTTTTTCGGTGTAGCATAAGGTCGAGAGTGTGGGAAGTCTCGTAAGGTTCATGTAGCAGCCGGCCGGACACACGAAGATGCCAGCAATGGCGAAGCAAGGACCTTGAACCCCTAAACCTGGGAGGCAAAAAAAAACCGTAAGATCGCAAACCTCCTAGTCTAAAGCCCACCCCAAAACCCATTGAAACCCTTAAACCCCCTAAATATNNCCCCCCCCCCCCCCCCCCCCCTATAACTCAAACCCTGCTCGCAGGGCCCACGTCGGCTTACAGCACCTTTGTCATCGCGGTGCCAGGTCTCCGGGGTTTAGGGCTTCCTTTAGGGGTGTAGGGTGTTTAGAGGTTCAGGCTTAGACATTAGAGCAGAAGTCCACTTTGTATTTGGGGTTGTAGGTCTTAGGACTTCAGGAGTTTCAACATTCCGAGAGAAGGTTCCTTGTTCTTCCAATCGGCCCCTCTTCTTCTGCAGCTGCGTCGCACGGATGGAACGGAACAAGATCTTACATCTTCTAAACTCCATCCACGAGGTAAACTGGCGTGTGGGCAGCGTCTCCAAACTCCATGAGGTCTGACAGCTTCTCAAGCTTAACCGCCCGAGCCCTATAGGTGCCCTAACCCTCAAGCCCTAAACGCCTAAAGCCTCAACCCCTTGAAACCCTACCAACCTTAGATTCTGGAGGCAAAAGAAGCACCCGAGGCCCTGAACCCCGCAGCTTCCATCGGCCAGATGGCTTCCTGTTGATTCCGCACCCCTCTGACGAGAAGCTGCCACCCAAGATCGTGGACGTCCCAGGCAGGTGTGTGAGCCACCGGTAATTGGGTTTATCTTAAATTTGGGAGAATTTGGGGGCCCACCTGACCTTTGGCTTCAATTAAAAGCTCACACATAAATCAAATAAATGGATCCATGGAATCCGGAAGCTCGCCTTGGGCTGAAGTTAGTGTTGAGGCCTTGAGTTCTGGTCTTGATATCCGCTTGCGTTCCTGGGGTTTCAACTCACGGGCCACGCTCAAGTCCAGGTTCATGATTTTCTGTGCCCAAGGCCCTGCACCCTGTGTCAGACGTCAGGAGCCGTCGAGTAGTTTGCCCTGTGATGTGGTGCTTTCACTTGTTTGCCGGAATCAGTGATGCATCACCGAGACGTCTGCGTAGCTTGCGTTTCGGAGTAAAGCATGTCAAGATGTATACCCCACGAGTTATGAGAGCGGACGGAGGTCGTTTTTCCGTAGTTGTTCTTTGAAAACTCTCAAGCT